AGCAAACCATCAGCCCTGTTCATAGCATCAGTTCCTCATAACGACTTTCTTCAGTATGACACACTACGGTAAGCACCCTAAAATGATAGCCATATCAATGATTGAGATGCATATTAGCAATGGGCGACTGTAGGTAATATGCCTGTTTGTGCAAACAAACGGTTAAGCCCATATACTTGTTATTCCTGTGTATCACTGATGGATCAATGCTTTCTCGCACTAAAGTACTCCTTAACACTAAATTTGATTAGCGACATTACCTTTTATGGGCTTACAACAAAATCATATTTCTTAAATAATGATTTTCCCATAAAAAGGATCGGGTAAGTATTTGTCGAGGTGGAACTTGTGTCAAAGTGGACAATAACCTATTAGCCATTACACCACATGTAAATTTCCTTGAGCGAATTATTGCAATAGAGGAGGTAAAACTTAGTTTACCTTGGTATTTTTAACGAGTCCACCAACACCCTTTGAAATATTTTAAACTAAACGACTCAGTAAAGTCTTCTTGAATACTTGCATCATCCCTCTTTGAACGACCATTTTCCATCTCACGCGGTGCCAGCACCCTCTATCACACTAGTTCAGCTTCAGGAACAGCCACCTGCATCCCCAGGGAAGCCTCAGCGTCAGATGACGGACCATAGAGCAGTCGCTTTGCCATGCATTGAAGCGCCACAAAAGCGTCGCCGTAAGTGTCAAACACGATGAAAAGCACGCAGGTCCCCACAAAGACGCATACGCGAGCGGCGGTACGGTAAAAGTCTGCACGGCGTACCTTTTCGCTGCGAGAACTGGCGTAAACCTGCCGTAGTTTGCCGCCAAAGGACCAAAGTGTGGCAACAGAAGTCTTGGCCTTACACCACAGCCCCGCCACCATGCAGCACAAACCTACACACAGTGTAAATGGTTCTGCCGTTTTTTTAAGGTAGAAAAAAAATAAAAGAATGTACGATAAGGCAAGGGTTCCCATAGAGAGGATTGTGGAGAAAGAAACCTTTGCCATATTTCGCTTCCTACATAAGAAACGTATGCAACATATAAATATGTGTATAAAAATCAATAAACAATGATGATGTTAGGATTTATGCTAGCGATACCCAACCGCTAACCTTCCTACCTTCATACAGAAAATAATATCAATCTTAGTGGTAAGAGTGTTGCCTTTAGCGTCTCTGACGATTTTAGGTGTTTGCATAACGACCCCTCACAATGAATATTTGATTGTTTATTCGATCCCCTCGCTAACCAAGATCTGATGATACTCCACAAGAACCTTGTCCAATTCTGGGCTGGGCAAAGCCTTTGCAATCATCCCCCGCAGCGCCTCCACTAGCGCGGCCTGGAGTGTCGCCTGTTCCCTAAACTGTAGGAAGTTCTCCGTCGTCTTAGCAGACATGAGCGCGACGCATAAGGTCCGCGTGATACGCGGCGCGAGATCGGGAGGACAGTACTGTCCACGGAAGCACTCGGGTGCAATTTTTCCTAAGGCGTGGGCAGCCTGCGATCGAACCTTGAATACGCTATCCCGTACCACCACTGTCATGAGTGAATCAATAGCGGTCAGGGTGTAGTTGAGCTCCGCTTCAAAAAGCACCGTCCGTGAGAAGCCCGTGCCCAGAGCGTAGGCAGCATTCCACCGATGCTTCGCGTCGCGTGAGCTCTGGGAGAGGAAGGTCAGCAGGGTGCGCAAAAAGCCCTCCGCCACACACTCCTCCACTCCCCCGTTCAGGTCTGGCAAGTCCGCGATGAGCTCTTCGAAGGTCAAAACCTGCAAGAGATTGTTGATCATGCGAATGCCGTGGCCCTGCACGGCGGTGTTTGGATCCGTCACGGCCCTCATAGCAGCAAAGAATAGCTGATCGATGTGCTCCACGGACTCCCGGATCGGATTCTCCGGCTCCCACAGCCGCGAGGTCAGATTCGACACCGCGAAGGCTGCCTTGCTGCGGACGATGCCGTCCGAATCGTGCGTCAGTGCGGAGAGGGCGGTCGCCAAAAACGCCGGGTTGTAGGGATCGAGCACCGGGTACTGCCACACCCACACCCCCAGCGTCATCAGCGACTCCGCACGCACCAGAGAGCTCCAGTGCTGCGCGGCCGTGAGGGCGTAGCGGACGATCTCCTCGCGCTGCGCGGGGCTCACCTCGTCGCTCGCCAGGCAATCCTCCCCGATCTGAGCGAGGCATCGCAGCGTTACGACGCGCACCTCCTCGCTCGTCTCCAGCCTCATCGCGGGGAGGATGAGCTGGTGGAGGACGGCGTTCTTCTGACACAGCGTCGCGCGGCCCTCGGGGGTCTCATTTTTCAGTGCAGGGTCGCCCGGGTTGTTATCGAAGGCCTTCCAGATGTACCCTATGAAGTGCGTCCAGGCCCGCAGGCACTCCACAAAGGCCTCCGGCGAGGCAGAGCCCGCTGCCGCCACGGCCGAAGAGCCCCCTCGCCCACGGTCTCTTTTAGGCGAGGTGCTCGCCGCCGAGGATGCCATGAGATCGCGATTCAACGCCGTTTGCTCCGCCGTCGCGGCCTGGCCTCCCCCCACCCTGCCACCTTGAGGGGTTGGCGTCGTCCCCGACCCTTGACGGAAGTTCAAGGTCGCCGCCTCCTGCTGCAGCAGAGCAGCCACGGTATCGCAGGAGGCTTGAATCAAAGACTCAAAGTGCTGCTGAATCAGCTTCGGGTAGAAGCGTGCGATGTGGACTAGACAACGCCACACCTCAACGCGCTCCTTAGCATGCACCAGCAGGTCGTTGATGAGGAAAACCCCGCGATAGGAGCCGTCATCGACGTTCTTTCCGTGTTCCCCCCCCTTTTCTGGGCTCCCCCCCAAGGGTATTGAGGGGCGAATCCCGTAGAGGTGCTCCGAAACATGGACCCGGAGGGACTCATTCTTGAAAACGTTCGCGAGAAAGCCCGTGGCTGCGATGAAGGGTAGCCCGCCCTCATCACGTAGGTGCTGCCGCAGAATGGGGGAGTCGAGCGTCTCCAGCATCACCTGCAACGAATGCGGGCAACGGCGGTAGGGCGTGACGACCGACAAGGCGGAGAAGACGTTAAACCACAGCGTCGCGTCATTATACGCGCAGGGTAGCGAAGGCTTCTTCGCAGGTGGATCGGACGGATCGGCTCCACCACGACGACCCTCCTGATTTAAGGCAAATCGGCCGCCAGCCATGAGGCACTCCTCGCCGCCGTGCTTGATAACCCAATATACCACATCGTGAATGGTCAACAGCGCGGTACCTCCCTGTGTAGCCAAGGAGACGAAGGACTGATGCTTGGACTTGGGCTCCTCCGCGAATTGGAGGTTGCTCTGAAGTTTGTAGAGCAAGGCGGTCAGCGCCAGCACCGCCACGCTGCGCGAGGTCGGCGAGGGATCCCAGACAATTGGAGTTAGGAGCGGATGGCGCACGTGGGGGCCGGCGCAGGCGTCTTCGTTAGGAAACAGTAACGGCAAAAAAGCGGCCGAGTTGAAGTCCGTATCGGGAAAACGATTGAGCACGGCACACAACGCCGCGAGCACGCTCACGCGCAGCTCCGTCACCGCTATCGTTTCCTCGGCCTTTATTGGATCCGTGGGGAGGTTAGCGTGCCCTCGCGCCAAAAACCACGACGACTGCCCTCGCGCTAAAAATGACGACGACACCTCCTTAGCGATACCATCGTGAGACCCCTCCTTGACAAACACATCGGAGGGGTCGATACCGTACACGGAGAATCGCGAGACCGCCTCGACAACGGGCCGCATGAGTTGCTCAGAAAGTTGAGAGTCCGGCAAGGCTACGACGGCCGCCTGATCAACCGACATACGGCTTCCAAGCCAGCCCTGTAAGTCATGCGCCTCGTGGCTGCCGGCCTGAAAGCTGGTGTTTGTCGACCGCGGAGTCGACGAAAAGGATGGAGAAGGGTGCTGAGGACGCGCACTTCCCTGAGGACGTGCAGAGGTGGCTCCCGGCGTCGTACGACCGCTCGGACCGCGAGAGCCCGCCTTGCCTGGCACCGACGCATCATCATCCGGGGAGGTACTAAGGCAGTACCAGGCGATAAGCTTGCATAAGAGGGTAATCTCTCGGAGAACGGACGTGGGAACTGCCCTTCGCTCGGCAGGGGTGCCGTCCGCCTCTGTGCTGCGCCGCGGGCGCCGCGCTTCAGTGGAAAGCAACAGACTGAGGCGCGTTACCACAAGCAGCACGAGATGCGTTGACAAGGTTCCTGTGGCACTTTCTGGCCGACTGAGAGGTTTAGGCGATGGCGTTCTCGGAGCCGACTGTGTGGTAGTGGCGCTCCTGGCGTCGGTTTCACTCTTGTCATCCAACAACGATGTAGCCTCCTCCACGACACGACTGGCATCCACTCGAAAGTAATCATGAAGCTGCTTCAGCGTCATGATGTAGCCTGACATACCTGTGGTCAAACGACCCCTGTTTGCTTTGTATCCCGTAGAACTGTTGCTAGCGGTTCGTTGTTCGCAATCTTCGCGCTCATCAGGTGGCTTAAAGCCCTCCACCTGAGGAATTACGGCAGGGAAAGTTTCCTTCGATCGGTCGTCTTTTGCCTGTTTGCCACGCCGATTGCGATTGCGATTGCGATGTTGAGATTCACGACCCCTACCACCCTTATCTTGTTGTTGCTTGGGTTGTTTTCGCTCTTCATAAGACGCTGCAGCTGGTGACTTCGGTGGATCAGTCGTGGTAGTAACAACAGGGGCTGCTGAGTCTGGTTGTGGAGTAAATTTATTCCTATTTGTTTCATCAGATTTTTGGATGATGGTATCAGGGGTGTCACCGCTGTCACATTTTTTTTTGTGATGCCCACGTGACCTTCTCTTCGGGGGCATTTATTTCCTTTGCTATATAGTACGTTAATAGTTTTGTATTTCGAGATAAAAAAAAATCGATGTAAAAGTGCCTATTGCTTCACAATCCACTTTATGTTTGAATATGCTGATGATAACGGCAAATTTCTAAGCAATAGCACGAAAAGAAAAGCATATTTCAGATATTGGAGAAGGGAGATAAAGATTCTTTTCTAAAAGTGATCAAACGCAACATTACCTCGCATTATTTATTGAAGAGTGACCATGGTATTGAAAATCCTTTATGTGAAAAGAGTAGTAATAAGCACTAAAGAGTATCGCGAATAAATCGAGTAACTGCAATGTAGAAGAGCGTTTATGTCTTTTGCCTTCTAAAGGTCATCCCAATATATGAGTAATGCAACAATTTCAGGAAGCCAATATATTTTCTTATTCAAATGGCAAACAAAATGGGGGGAATACTCCTAATGTTATTGCCCACTGCTTTAGATATTTTATGCAAATAGAAAAATAGCTTCAATACTCGTTTTAAAAAAAGAACGGGGCAAAAAATAATCTGTTATCATTAGGTACACCAGATGTAGAAGAATACCCTGCTAAGCAGAAAACTCGGCACTGAAATAAGCAAGCGCTCTGTATCCTCTATTTCAGGCAACAAGAAAAAAGATGGTGATTCCCCCTCAGGCACTTCGACATCTAGTCCAAACGGACAGCACCTAATGTTTTCTTTTTGCTGCGGAGTTTCATGACGCTCGTGGGCTTAGTGATTTTAATGCTCTCATCACGAGGAGTGCTAGTTTGAATTAGAGTTGTAGTAGGCCCCCGCGGTGCCTCGGTCCCATTCCCCGAAAACGGGACCTCGGAAGATGGTGAAGACTCCCTAAACGTCGCACTGGCGCCCTGAGAAGTCCCCGCAAATGATGGAGCCACCAGAGACGGGAAATTCACACCGGTCGGCATCTTGGCCACCTCCCCCCAACCATCACTATCCGTATCCTTCGCATCGTTGTCCTCTTTGGATGGCTTCAAATCCTGCACGTCGTCGTTCCAGCCATCGCAGGTGTCGGTATCGCTCCTCGGCCCCCTCTTCTGCGGGAAATTTCGAGCCAAACTCAAGATCCCGTCGTTGCTTTCGGAGTGCGATTGAAGTGAGGAAGAGGGCGGATGATGCGTGTTTCCAAGAAGAGGTCGCGTCCGCGCCGTATGGTTCACCCTCCCCTCCATCGAGGAGGGAGATTCCTCGGGCGGCAACGCGTGTGCGTTCTCCTGCTCAAGGCAAAGAAGATGATCGGCCTCGAACCTCGCCACGGCGTTTTTCAGGATGGCGAGGGCGTGCACGCGGACGTCAGCGACGGGATCCGTAATAAGCGGCACGACGCGCGGGATCACGACCTCAGAGAGCTCCCGGGTTCGCAGCTCCTCCACGACGGTGCTCAGCGCCTGCAGGGCGGCGATGCGGCTGGGCGCGAAAGGGTCCTTTAGCATTCGCCCGAAGGCGGAGACGAGGATCTTGCTCCGCACCTCCGCTGGCATGTGCTGGGAGATTAAGGAGAGCGCGATCGTCGCGTTGGTGCGAATCGCCCCGTCGGGATCGGCCTGCGCCTGTTGGAGGAGAAACGGCACCTCCTGCATGAGCACTCGCGGGCTGAGCTGCCCGGCGATGTGCACCAACGCCCGCACGGAGCCGTCGCGGATGCCCGCGGAGGTGGAAGAGACGCCCTTCGCGTAGAGTGGCCAGATCTTCTCCAGCGTCTTTCGCGAGAGACGGCTGCCGTAGACGTCGATCGATTGCAAGAGGGAATAGCGAATGACAAGACTGGTGGACTGAAAGAGCAAAGCGAGGCAGGGGGAGATATGGGTGTCGAACATCTCGTCATTCCCCACGAGCCTTGCGATCTCCATGACCGGATTAACGATGTTCACCGGCGGGGTATCCATTTCAATAAGCCCCATTAGCTTAGGGAGGATTGTCTTCAGACAAACCAGAAGAGGGAATTCCGGAATCACGAAACCCAGTCGATCCATAAACTCCTCCCGCTGAGTTGAATCCATAAGCATGTACTGATTGAAATCACTAAGGGATTGAACATAGGCGTTTTTCTGTATAAAATCGCAACTCTCGAGAAATTCCTCGATGCTGTGGCACATATTCACCTTTCCAGGCAACAACCGCTTAAAACTAGCTTTTAAAGAATCCGGAAGCTGCGACTGGCAGCTATGCACGTTCTTTGAGCTCAAAAGGTCCGTATCCGTGTCGCTGCTGCTCCTGTCGCGAAAGGCTTCAAATATAAGGCACGCCATCCCCCACACATCCACCGCCGCATTGCGCCTTCCTATCGCATCCGGAATGCGATACTTTGGTAGGAAGTCCGCCGCGAGTTGATGATACACACTCGCGCCGTGTTTTTGACCCCCCGCCTCGACCCCATTCGAGGAAACCAACTCCAACCCCCACAGCCGCCAGAGCCCATCCGCAGTAACGTACACCGTCTCCGCGCACACGTTGCCATGCATTAACCCGTTCTTCTCCAACCCAATCAACACCTCACTGACGTGCTTCAAACCAAGCGCCACGCCCTGTTCGTATTGCTTCCCTACATGATCACCGTAGAAGACGCGGAGGAGCTCCGCACTAGCCAGCACGTTAGACAGCGGATCGCATCTCTCCGTTGCAATATAGATGCAGTTGTCGTACTCCACTCCACCATAACATCGGAGGATGCCAGGTAGCATGAGGCTCTTGGAATATTTGAGCGCATTTCGTGCTAGAATTTTCATATTCGCTTCTTTAGGATTCTGAGATGCCTTTCCTTTGGCAATGGGCGTTGTAAAAATATTTACTGGCAAGCCATCTTCTATACGGGTGCCCTGGCGAATCGTCCAGTTCAGCGTCGCGGTGCTATGAATATATTCTGGTTTTCCGCTATCAATTTTGAAGGGAAAGTTTGGGATCGATCCGCCCAAACCGACCATCTTCCACAAAAACGACATCCTTCCGTCTTCTTGTGTTTATTATAGCTTTTTGATACTTCCTAGTTACTTTTCAAAGATTGAATACAGTCTTCCAGTATTTGTTGTCCACTACGAATTTGCATCACCTTACACACCTTTTAAGAGGCTGCAGCTCTTACTAACGCTGTGGAAGAGAAGAAGTAAAGAGGGCTTGTGAGAAGATTATTTTGGATTGAGGGTTTAAAAACGATAAAAGAACAAGAACTGAAGAGATTTGAGAATACCCATACCCGCGTGTAACCTCCCTCAGTTTCATATATCTATTGCCGTCTTCATCACCATATCGACAAGCGTGAAGGGGAACGACAAAAAAGAAAGCATAACTAGAAGGGTTGTTTTCTTGTCCGTTCTTTACGAAAGTTAACTAGTTTGGAAGAAACCGCAATTATGACGAAACATGGCACAAGGCTCTCGCAGCACAAAGCACCTTGAACCTCATCGATGAGTCTCGTGTGCACCCTCTGAAATACAACAACAAACAAGTGAAAACAGTTTAATACAGGATTGGTTTTTAGGGGAATATATATATAATGTTATTCATTCCTTTCAACCTTCTGCCTTTCTCCTTGCTGAATGCGTGGATTTCCGCAGATACACCGCGCCCGATCACGGTAGCAATGGGCCTGGCACTTGTTGCAGATCCAATCCCCCCTCGCCCATGAGGAAAGAACATCCACGTGGATGTCATCCGCCGCAGGCAGGTTGCAGCTTCTGCACACATCGTCCTCACTGGAGTTGATGAGATGGCAGGCGCAGCGCCAGCACCCGCGATCGGCAAGCACGTAATGATGCCAAGGAATCCCGCAGTGAGTGCAGTTTGCATCCCCGTGGAGGAGGCGAGCGTACTTCTTGCTACCGTTCTCCCCCGTGTAGTCCCGCTTGAGAAACACGACACTCCGCGAGGCGAGGTTCACCCCATCGCAGCCCTCGCAGAACCATGAGGTGCAGGTCTGGAAATCCCACTGGGCCCCCAATAGCATCCGCTCCAACACCCCTGCACTCGCGATCGACCGCGGGAGGCGGCAACGCTGGCAGCTATGGGTGCTCCCCGGGTTAAACACCCCACACATACACCACCACATCGGCCGTGCGTACGATATCACCGGCCCCCCATGCAACGAACCCCGACAGGCCCCACAACGCTGCTCCGGCGACAACCGCGCGAAGCAGTTATGGAGGCCGAAGGTGCGATTCGCGTGCTTTCGATCGGCGGCCGTGTTGCCGTAGACCTTTGGATTGCACAATGACGTCTGCGCGCGGCAATGAGGGCAACCGAGGACGACGTCGAAGCGCTCGCGGTTGCAATGCCGACAGGTGCTCGACTGCAGCGAGTTCACCTCCTCGCAGCCAGGGCAAAGCCACCGCGAGGTGCGATTCCGCAGGTTAATCACACTCCCCACGGCCGCCCGCTGGACCTGATCGGCGACCCGTTCGTGGTAGACGACGCGGACCTCCCGGGCGGCCCCACGCGGCGTCGCGCAGCAGCGGCAGCCCCCATCGCGCTCAAAATTCACCTCAAAACACCGCCCGCAGATCCAATTCGCCGCGTCGGTGCACCACCCCCGCACCCGTTCGGCCGCGTCGTGGCGGAGGGCGTGGCAGCGATCGCAGACGGTGCGGGCGCGATGCGGCATCGCGTGGAGGCATCCCGCGCAAATCCACCCCCCTGCCGCCAACGCCGCCACCCCTGCGGGGGATCCTTCCACCTCCCGCACCGCCGCCAACGCCGCCGCGCTCAACGAAAGAGGGGTGCCCGCTAAAAGTGCCCGCGTGGCTTCCGGCACCTCCGCCACCCCCCCTGGCGATCCCGAAAGAGGGGACGAAGGAGAGAAGGAAATCGAAAGGGAGGGGTCCGCGCCCGTTTTCAGGGAGGCCGCCTGCGCGAGGCGCTCGTCATGGCCGCCGTTGGGCGCCAACGCGTTGAATTCGACCTCGTCAACAGGCCATGAGGGAAGAGGAGGGGCCTTTTCGGTTGTTTCCCCTTGAGAGGGGGTCTTAGGGGTGAAAGAAGGCATCCACCACGGCATCTTTGTGATCTGTGAGGATCGACGGGTGAACTGGGCTCGACGCGGCATCCAAAGTGCACCCCCTCCGACCGTGCGATGGAGGCGAGTTAAGAAAACCAGGGAGCCACGCCGCGCGTGGCTCACAGGAGCATGATTCATTTAAACCGAGTTTGTGTGCCTGATGAATAGGAAGGGAATCAATAATCGGATTCTATTCGCATTACTATCGGGAGGGAAGATAAAGAAAGAAAGGGAAAAAGTAGCGCGATGAGGATACCCGCCATCCAGGGGATACACCCCTCCCCCTGCCCTTCAGGTGAATGTCTGTGAGGCAACGCTCTAACGAGTATCATCCGAAGGAAATAACAGTAGCGCTGAAAAAATATCCTAGCGATTAAAGTTTCCATTCGCACGCTTCATATCTAACAAAAAACTACTGGAATTCAAATGGCGTTTTGTTGGTTTGGTTATCGTTAGAAACCTGAGGAAGAAATAGTGACGATTTTGGCATCACTAACGCTACCTCATTTGCATCCATCCACTTCACTGGAACATCTAGATAAGGTTTATTGAAACTAATGGCACGAGACCATGGAAAACTCACAATCCAACAACTTATGACATAGTGATTTAAGGTCTAGGGGCACACGGACCTCGCAGACCCTCCCCCTTGTGTGAAGGTGAAAGCTTTCGAAAAACACCTTTTGGGAAGCCTACCAACCAACATCAAAGGGGTGCGTTGGGTAGCACTCTGGATAAATGAGCGCCCCACACTTGAACTCTATCCTGGCAAAAGTAAACCCAGAATTACCAAGAAAACAGTTCCAATCAGTGCAAATCAATCGTAATCTCACGAATTTATTCAAGCTCTATGCTATTCAGATGAATGAGTATGAGTACAGAATGTAAATAACGGGATTAAACTTCCCACTTAATGAGTTATTTCTTGCGAGTTTCTCGTAGATGTGAATAAGGGGAGGATTTGCTTGTTCGCTAAACCCTATAGCGTAACGTTCTGTTGCTAGGGTATGCGTTCCAGTGTATTTCACCACTGATGTTTAAGTCATTAGAAGAAGCCATCGTCCGGAATAAGAAGCGATATTGTAGAAAACAACAGAACGACAGGTTCGGGCGTGTCACCTACCACAAAATGATGTTCTTCGTTCACAATTTTATTCACTATAGCTAGACTCATGCTTCAATCTGAAGCCTTAACGGAGATTACCCCAAAAAATCATCGTCTACGGCAGTGTTAGATCTCCTCTTTCGACTCATCGGTATCCGTTGAAATTACGCTCTTAGTACCGAGTGGCTCACCATCCACCTGAATCGCGGCGACATCTGCCTTTTGGCGAAAGGACCCCAAGTAGGGTGCAATTCGATCTGCTAGAGTCATCGCTTCCTGGATGAGAGCTCGACGCCGCAGCCTCAGATCGTTGCTCCCTCTAACTGGGAGACTATCCAGGATAACAATGTACTGCGTGAGAAGCTCGTTCGAATGCAGAGCTCTAGACTCAATCTCGCAATTTAAGCGCTCTATTAGTTCTTCCCTATCGTCCGGCGCTACTATTTCTGTGTCCATCTCATGAAGCGGTTCCTCAGTGGATCTCAGGCCTTCCTGCCTCTTGGTGTGTTGTTCGCGTATCGTATCTCGTTCTTTAACAACACTTGCCAATTTATCCAGTGACTCTAGCAATTGCGCCTCACGACCTTTTACAGATGACCTCAAGATGGACTCAAAGCGGCTTTCAACCTGATCCACGAAATCGATGTCATCATCCTCGACCTCCCGTGGCTTCTCCCTTCCCCCCTTGCATCCATCGCAATCCCCACGGCAGCGAAAAAAATGACAGTAACCGTATCGAATTGCAAGCACAGACGCCGCGATGGTAATGGAGATGAGAGCCCGCTGTTTCAATGTATATGGGCGAGAATGCCGCTGATAGCGCGCTAAAGCGGCTTGATAGTCTAAGTAGAGCATGCCTAAAGGCACTAGTCCCACTTCCAAACACTACACAGAAAATATCACGTAAACAAACCGATGGAAAGATGAGGAATGACTTAGTGAGACATAAAAGCCCTACAGCAATCTAAAGGCAGACAAATAGGAAGGTTTTTTTGAGGGGGGGAGGGGGGGTCAGCAGGTTCATCCGTATATGAACCCGCGTATACTTGTTTAATGCAGGTAGGCGGAAAAAATAGGAATAACACTAGTAGTATATTATTCAAAAAAAAACAAATTTATTATAAAACACGACCATCACACTTTCCTTCTTCCTTGGCATTGGGCGCAAAACTCAGAGAGTTTTCGTGGCCAGTCCCCAGCACTTCTTCATTGCAAATCAGCACCAATGGAAAGATGCGAAAAGGATGTGATACCCATCCCCATAGTCCTCGACATTGTTCCCAGTGTTAGGGATTCAAAAAGGTGTACAATAGCAAGCTCGGGGTATACTCTGGTCAAATTGCATTTGGTAGAGTTATTTTGTTTCAGATAAAAAATAAATAAGAGCAGACATTGGCTTCAGGGGTAAGGAAAAGAAAGCTTCTCTGTTCTAACTTCTTGAGTTAGGTTGTGTGACACTTTTGTTACTCGAATGTCCACAAACAAATTCCCCAAACATCTTAGTTGAAGTTGCTTCTCCCAAGTTCCTAGCTGGCTCCTCCCACCAAAGTTGTACATACTATGTAATAAATCAAATATCAAAACGATGGGATAAACGAAAATATGTCCTTTCTTTTGATTCAAACATATCGTGTCGAATTACGGTAAGCAAGGCATTTATAAGAAGCTATACTATCTTTGAAAAATGTAACTGGCAAAACAATGTTCCATGCATTAGAGTAAAAATAAAAGGTCCTCCACACATACACACACACACACACACATGCATAGTCTTATGCTTATACCATTTGATGTAAAGAAGAAAAATAGAAATTTTTGAGTACACGGCATCCAATCACACAACAAGATTAAACGAACAGCGATAGAAAAAAGGAAGGGCAAATGTGAATATATAAATAGGTAGATGAGTGTAGTAAAAGAGTCTCCTTCGTGTTGGGTTTCAGCTTTTCTTTTCGACCCCTTCCTGAACCAAGTGCAGACGCGGTAATACGCTATCAAAATCAGTGGATAACTTATCAGGGATGCGCAGATAAAGCCGCATAAAAGGTCGCGCGGCATATTGAGTTTTCCAGACCTCCATGACGGCGGACCAATCCTCATCGCATGTTAACCGCTTTAACGTATTAGGCCCCATCCTCAGTTCTGAAAACTGCCCATCAACGTCTGACAAATCTTTCCCAGGACGCTTATTCTCCCCTTTCAAGGTTTTATGTGCTGACTTGTGAGTTTGGAGCGGGCGTGATGTTTGGTCTCTACGAAAGCCAGCAGTGCGCTCGATTGCGGCGGGAGTTTCAATGCAAAAATAGAGCCCAAAATCTTTCAAGAGCTCCGCGGCGGCGGGCACGTGATTCCCCTTCGCGTCGTCGATGCAGCTGCGAAGCAGCACCGCATCCAGCTGCCACTTTCGCAGCGCCTGCTGCACACGCCACAACACCCCCAAAAGACGAGTCCGCATGCGCAGAGATAAAAGCGGCAAGGTTAGCGATACAGCATGATCATTCAACCACGACGGGGAAAGGTGCTCACGTACGCTTACACGCTTCGCCATAACGTCCTTCATCTTTGGGGGCACCATCGTCGTCGTCTCGGCGAGGGGTTCCGTGGTGGGTGGATTTTTCTTCAAGGTCACCGGCAAGCTCCCTTCATGCGGCCTCTCACGTGGGGAATCTGCACGCCCTGACGCTGCCGTACGCGCGAAAGGAGCGGGTCGGATCGGCCGCTGCATCCTACGCCCCACGAGAAAAAGCCCGTCCTCCGCCTCGAACTCCCTCGCGAGCGGCTGACGTGGCGTCGGAACCGCACCGGCCGCCCGAAGAGGGTGGTTTTCAGTCGATGGCTTCGAAGTCGACGGTTTTAACCCGTCTTGTTGGGTTAAATCAACCCTGACAGGGTTTTGCGCTACGCGACTCTCCTTCTTGACGAGGGGGAGCTCCTTTCGTGGCGCAATTGGCGACTTGGCGGACGTCAGATTCTCACGCACCTCCGTAAAGGAGCTGTTCGTTGAGGAGGTGGGGGCGCTGATGATGGGTTGCGTGTTTAGGGCACTTGACGGAATGCACTCCAGTGTAACTGGCAGGCTGTAGTCAAAGTACCGGTGACCACTCTCAGCATCGTAAAGTGCCTTGTAGAGCTTGAAGTCTTCCTCTTCTTCTTCTTCTTCTTCTTCCTCTTCTTCTTCTTCTTCTTCTTCCTCTTCTTCTTCTTCTTCCTCTTCTTCGTCCTCTTCCTCTTCAGTAGACTCTTCGTATGCCTTACTAGTGCATGAATCAGAGGTAAAGTCGCTGTCAACCCTATCGTCTCTCTCTGAGGTACTTCTCGTGTTTTTGCTGGTGCTAGAAATGGGGCTTTTGAGGGGTTTCAACCCACCGCTATCTGTAATAGTGGAATTCCCGCTCTTGACTCTATTACCCCTTCTCTCTGCTTTTAGAGAAGTGGTCAACGAAATATCCTGCGAGGAAGAGTTGGGATTCCTAGCGCTTTTACGACGAGTGTAATCGGAGTGGTGCCGAGTGCGGTACCGCCTTTCCGTACCTACCGACACGTCTTCGCTCTCCGATTCACTTCCTCCCGTGGAGCTACGCTCGGCGTCCTCGCATTTTCCTTTGGAGGATGGCGAATCCGAGGTCGACGACCCTTCCTCGGAGGAAGGGGGGGCGCTCCAGCGCCACCGCAGCTCCTCGCGCAAACGCGGAGGGCGAGCACGGGGATGCCCCCGCAGCGCCTCGTCCACTTCCTCCACCGAAGAGGACTCCCACAACCCCGTATCCGAATTCAGGAGGGGCGCAATAAACCGCGGGCACAGCGATATCCGCTGTGGCGGTTGCTGAGCAAAGCGCTGCGTCATATACGCAATTGTAGCCGCCTCTTTCGCCTCCCGCATCACAGATTGGGCTACATTCGTCTCACCAAGAGAAAGACTCGCCGCTGTCGTTATGGGTGGGTTTCGCAAAGAGTCCTCCGCCGTGGTCCCGGAAAGAAGCAGAGCTGCCAGGGGTGCACCATCGCAGGAAACCAAAAACGAGGACTTCACGTCGGACTCCAGGGAAGAAGGGGGCAAATTTAGTCTGTCCACCCCACATGCCGCATCACCCCTTCGAAATCGCACAGAGGTGTTGTGAATGCATTGATCCAGTGCATTGTCTGTCAAACGGGAAAACGAGACGGAGTTTCCATCCGATCCCCTGCTTAAGGAAGGAGCGAAGCCCCCTCTCCCTCTATGTCGACGCTGTTGACGAATGTCGGATAAATGCTGCCGAGCGGTGGCCTCCTCGATAGCCGACTGCGCCATACGATCTAACAAAATCCCATAAGGTGCGGAATAGCGTCCACTGCAACTGTTCTTGGCGTTGCAAGTCTCAGAATTGGTTTGGCCAGGGCGGTAACTTAAAGGATACCTCGCAGAAGTCTCCTTCGAGCGGGTATCCCACATCCCCCTATCCCATTGGGTATCAAAACGCTTACTTGGAGTCGTTGAATTAGCGCGCGCGGTCGCGTGCGTGCTGGAATACAAAACATCCCCGGGAAGCAGCGCGGCAGAGCCGCTGGAAGGCCGCAAAGATGGACAAACAGCATCAACCGTCCCCCCTCCCTCCCTAACCGGTCGTTGCGTCGTGGAGAGATCGGGAAGGGTGAAGAAAGAGGACGTCGCGACGCCGCCCGCGTGGCGCTCAACCCCTTCTGAACGATTTTTCACCGAAAGGAACGGCGTCGGCAGCGGCGTCTCCGCCGTAAAGACGGCCTTAGCAACCGACCCTGCGTTCAATCGCTCCTGCTGCTGCAGCTGCGCGACGGACGTCTCAAAGGTCCGCGTGTAGAGCTCGTTGAGTTGCTCCTTAAGGTGGGCTCGATGGGCTTCTTGCCGCGTGCGAACCTCCCGTTGCGCCCGCCGGCGCTCGCGGCAACGCACCTCGAAGGCGATCACCTTCGCGCGGAGGATCTCCTCCAGCCGCCCAGAGGGGACCCCTTCGCAGCGCCCGGGCCTCTCACAGAGCGACGACCACGCCAAAACCCCCTCGTTGCCTTCCACCGCGAGGGATCCTGCGAGCACCGCCGAAGACGGTCGACCCCCCGGCAACGTCTCTTTTGTCTCCGCCACGGGAATCTGCAGCGAGAGTCGCCGACGAGGGTCGGGCGAAGACGTCCCCTTGGGAGGGGAAATCACGTCCTGCACCCCCCCTCGCGCACGATTCCCCTCCCTAGCCAAGGGACTGGGGGCTGTTACTAAAGAAATCGCACGACGACGCGTGTGCTGCGCGGTTGACGGTCGCAGCCCCTTTTCTTCTCCCCGTATCTTTTCTTTTTCTTCCGCCAAAGGATTATCCGCTCCAGCTTGTACCACCGCAGTGGCTGGACGGCCCTCAAAGCTCACGAGCTCCGCTCCTCCCCGCTCGATCATGAGTACCTTGTCATTGCCGGAGCGCAAAGTTAGCGCGGAAAAGGCCCCGGCGTTCAGCAGCCACGGGATGCGCCCAACGAGGTTAATAATCGTCTGATCGGAAGCATTCGATTGGATGGATTGCTCCAAGTTGCCCTCATTGGCGTCGCATTGGATTTCGCTGCAAATGGCGATGTCATCCGCGTCGTCCCCAGAGAGGCAAAGCACGTCCACCGGGTTCACAAACCGACTGGAGAGCGATTTCCACTCCCGCGAACGACCCATGGAAGAAGGGGGATGAAATCGACGGGCACCACCATTGTTGGTGGCTGGGGGGAGCCGCCATGATTCCGCCCGAGTGGAAGGTTTAAAGCGATTTGCTCCCACACCCGAGCTTGCCACGACGCGGGCGACCCCTTTGCGACCTTCGGCCGCATCCACCCCATGGTGGGAAGCGGCGCGCTGCTGCGCGAGAGCCACCCCGCCCACGCGAGACGGCGGCAACACCGACAGAATCGCCTCCAGAGAGCGATCGAACTGACTGGCAAGATCCTGAAAACACACCGGACGGGATCGACTTAGGGAAGGGCTGGGGAACAAATCATTGAAAATGTTGCCGCTTCTTTCACCGGTCCCGAGTCGACAGCTAGGTTGCGAGTTTGGATTCCCAGATGGATGGCGAGGGCTCTCCAACACTCGAGGCGTAACGGAAGCCGCCTCCCTGTTTACGTCTGCGGCCCGCACAACCGTTGGCATCGATCCCAATCGTGTGGAAGGGGTAAGGGGTCGTGAGGGGGAGATAGGGCGTAAGATGGGTCCAGATCCCACGGAGTGCTGCACGCCGCCCTCTCCAAGCATAAAGCTCGGATGCATACCGAAAATGCTATAGAGCAGCTGCTCCGACGTCGGTCGCATTTCGGCCTCAAACACCAACATGTGATCCACCAAAGACACCACCATGGAGTGCATGACCTGCTCCCGCTCCTCGAAATCGTCGCCATAATGCTGTTTTAGAACACGAAGCTGATCCTCCTCAAAGACGTGCGGCTGTTGGAGCCGATCCCGATCGTAAACGCCCTCCGTGATGACGTGGATCTGGGCGAGGACATTGTCTCCGCAAAACGGCAGCGTCAGGCAATAGAGCTCGTACGTGAGCACCCCGAGCGCCCACACGTCGACGCTGAAGGAGTACGGCTTCCCAAGCAACACCTCCGGGCTGAGGTAAAACGGCGTGCCGATGAAAGTCTCCGCAAAAGGGTGCTCCGGGCTGAGCAGCTTGGAGACGCCGAAGTCACCCAACTTGACGGTGCCGTCGCGGGTGAGGTAGATATTCGACGGCTTCACATCGCGATGGATGATGGAGAGGGAGTGGAGGTACGCGAGGGCATCCAGGCACTGCCGCACGATATCCGTGATCTGAAAGGAATCAATCCACCGCCCTGGGGTGGACGGCCCTATCGTGGGCTTCCCTCCCTGCGGAAATTGCGCGTCTAGGGGGGGTTCGGGGCCCCCCCTCCCCCTCTCCGCGATCCTGAAGGGAGGCTCATCGTCATGGGTTCGTTACCAAACCCACGACGCTTCGTTTCCCGGCCGCGCTTCTCCCGCGTTTTTAAGCCGACATCCTCGTTTAAAAGAGGGGGATGCGCGCCCTCGCGGAAGGTGCTGCCGGGCGGCGTATCGGGCATGAAGCTCGCATCCCCGTCAATCCAAGACCCGCCCCCCCGGGCGGGGATGCCCTCCCCCTCCCCCCTTCCCCCCCACGCTGCCCCCGCGCGGGATGAAAACATCGACGCCGATGACACCTCTTGACGACGCGCAGAAGAAGTAGAGGAGATGGAGGTGGTGGTGGTGGATCCCGCTTTGCCCTCCGAACCTCGCCCCCACGGAGGGATCGAATCGTGGCGAAAAGACGTCGCGCGGGAGTCGGGATCCTCCGCGGTGCTCGAGTCGTGCTGTCGAATGAGCGAGCTGATGTCGCAGCCGTCGACGTACTCGGTAACCAAACACAGCTGCTCCTCGACGTCATCCATGAAAAAGTCCACATATTTGAGGATGTTGGGGTGATCCAGAGAACGTAGAAAGGATACCTCCGACATCGCCAGTACGATCTCCTCATCACTCAGACCATTCAACGAGATCGCCTTGATAGCTACGTAGCTCTGCTCTTTGCTGTAGCCACAACCTGCGTGTAATTGTTCGTCAACGCAAAGGTATACCCTGCCGAACCCGCCCTGCCCAATAAGGCTGAGCGGAACATAACGTGGACCCCAGTGTGTGGGCAGGCCATCCAGCTCCGTCGCGTGTTCGCAAGGCTTGGTTTTTGGTTCGAGCAAAGACCTCGTCATTAGTGTTTTCGCATTCAAAGTCGAAAAAAAGAATAACCAAAGAGAAAATTGTCGATTACTATTTCCGAAGACATTCAACTCGTCTCGGTGTATAATGGAAGCAAAATGATTGGGGAGATGGGAAAAGAAGAGAGGAATCTAGAAGTAATCTGTTATTTGCTTTATTAACTGCTGCATGTGCAGAAGAGTATAAAAAGGAGGAGAAAAGGGAATGCATGAATCGAACAGTGCAACCCCAAAATCAGATTAGGAAAGGGGGAAGACAAAGTAACACAAAAGAGGAAATAGAATCGCCCATATGCTGATCAAAATCTTTCATTTTATATTCAATATTACTATTCCTAAATTTCCACCATTTTCCTATCGTTTAAATACAGTTTGAGCTTCTAAAAAAGTTGATAGCTAGGCGAATGGTGAAGTTGGAAAACTCATAAGAAAGCAATCATCGTAACAGGACAAATTGTAATAAGAAAAACAGTCACATGTATTCATCGAATACCATTAAAAAAAAATAAGATGCTCAACTTTAAATAATTTCGGTATTACTTCAACTGCTGTTCAACTATTACAGTTTCAACGAAGATTAGAGTACATTAAAATTAAAAATAAATCAACGAATAATTTATTTATATATAGATAGATAAGGTAGGGGGGAAAACTCCAACCTACAATTCAAACATGAACCTAACTTTTTCCTTCTCTGTAGGCACGAAAACATGCCTCAGGTTGCGATACCGATCGTTTATTTCGAAGCCGTAGCCAATAACGTACTTGTTGGGAGCATCTAAGCACTTATACTCAGGTTCAAATTCGACCTTACGCGCATCAGACGGCTTGTTCATAAACACCAACGTCTTGAGGCTCTTTGGCTTGTAATTGTCGCCAATATAGTCATACAGGAACTTCATGGTTCGCCCACTGTCGCACACATCCTCAAGGATGAGAACATGTTTGCCGTTTAGGTGTTTGAATTTAGGTTTCGATAAAAGGGTAATTGTCCCACTGCTCTCCGTTCCATCGTTGTACGACGCGAGACGAATAAAATCAACAACGTGAGGAAGGTCATAATCACCCAGGTATCGCACAAAGTCCGCCGTGAAGACGTAACTCCCCTTCAGGACGGATAAAATAATCAACGGATTTTCCTCACTGATAGGGGCCTCCATCGTAGAAGGTGAATCCGCGTCCCTAATATCGCACGAATTCGAGGTGATGCCATGAGGAAGCATTTCTCTATTCATGGAATTTAGTGAACGACATGTATCAAGGTGCTTAAGGCCTTTATAATCCTCCGCAATGCGTCGTGCTAAGTTTTGCACACTTCTTTGAATAACATCCTCGGTAGCGACCACTTCGGATGCCATGGGGTACTCGCGATCATCTATCACGATGATACCCTTGTCATTAACGTGCTGAGTACAGACGTGTCCCGGTTGCATTTCTTCTCCTTTAGACTTCGATTATATTGGTGTAATTTTTAATTCCTTTCTATTGCGCGTGTTGAACCCCGATGTAGAAACAGAAACAGGTGAACCCACGGTAAATCCTCCAGACTGAGGTCCTTGAGTATCTCAATAAAACTTACAAAAGAACAGACGCGTCACCTCACGAGCACCACAGCCATAAATGCTACACTCCGTAAAAATATGACTCTTTTTACCTTTTTAATACTTTTCTTACAATATTTTTAACAAAATTATAGTCAACTTATCAATCCCTACGCGACAAAATGATATATAATAAATCCACGTGTTATCTGTTAAGGAAATATTATTTTCAACTTTAAGATTAGTAATACGCTATTATTTTGATTAAAAAGTATAAAAAGTAATACCAAAGGAAAGAATTATGGTAATATATGTATACATATTAGTCCCTCGATTAGTTGTTACAATCGGGATTTGCCTTCATAATATTTCTTATCTAGCTCGACCACGTCCCGCAGCTCACGGAAGCTCTCTGAATAATCCAAACCGTAGCCCACAACAAATACATTAGGCACAACGATAACACGGTAATCTGGACTGAACGGCTTCTTGCGTGCATTCGGCTTGTCTAGCAACACTACCGACTTCAGAGACGCTGGATTTTTGCTCAAAAACAAGTTCTTAATGTAAAGAAGGGACGTTGCGGTATCAACGATATCCTCTACGATCAAGACATGCTTGTTCTCAACGCTCTCCCGCACATCCAACAGCAAGCGCACTTGCCCAGACGACTCTACACCTTTTCCATAGGAGCTAATGCAAATAAACTCTATCTTTACAGGAACGCCTTCATCCGCTAAAAATCGTGAAAGGTCTGCAGCGAAGAGGTAAGCGCCCTTGAGAACGCACACCAACACAATTGGGTTCTCCGAACTGAGATTGTAGCCCTTGTAGTCATTGGCAATCCGTTTCGCGCACTCCGCCGTCTTTTTCCATATCTCCTCCTGTGAAGCAATCGTGCGCACCGCCATAGGGTAGCGTACCTTAGCAGAAGTACTAGACCGGCACATTGAGATAATTTATTGTACTATACTTCTTCCTTTTCTGAGATTATCGAGCTGATTTCGAATAATGTGTACAATGTTTGTAACCGCTTGTGAACACGAAAGATATGTTTTCATAGAGGAAATAATCACGTTGAGAGAGGGAAGGTAAAAATGATAACACATAAAAACGCAGAAAAAATGTCAAACACCCACCAAATTCCCTTAGTAGGTGGTGCTATAACACCGCAGGCTCGAAAAACGCATATGGTGGCGTTTTTTTTTCGCTTCGAGAGCTTTTTCTACAAGCTGCACCCTATATATATGTACTGTTCAAGCAATCTCAGCACCTATGAGGAATAAAAGGTAAATACACATTTAGTCAGGATTCAAATGCACTGAAAACAAAAGTCGGGGGGGGGGGGAGGGAAAAGTGAAAATCCACTAAATGAATCCGAAGCTCGCACACTAGGTGTCCCCCACACCACCACCATACTGCATCCCCCCTGCACGTTATGTGTACAACAACCATACACGGTCACCACAATAAGATGTAGAAGATAAACGAGGGAAAGGGGAAATAGACGCCCTTTTTCCTCCCCTGCCACTTAGGGCTCCACCTTCTGTTCCAAAAGCTTCTGTTGTGCCTTCTCGCGCGATTCCCGGACCTCCTTTTCCCAGGACGTCTCCCAGCTCCGCGCGCTCCGCTTGGAGCTGCTAAACCAATTCCCTGAGTAGGCCCCAATACCGGTAATAGGGGGCGCCATGGTTGCCCGCCGGATCGCGTCGGGATCCTCCTCCAGCTCTTTTAGCGCGACGTAGTGCCGGCGAACCCAAACCCAAAACACTAGCGTGATCACCGTGGAAAGGATAAGCGCCATGCGAATATCGCGGGAGAGCTTTTCCTGCTCCTCCCGCAGCTGTTTGAGAACCTCGCGACTAATCTGGTAGGATACCTCCTGCATCTTGCCATGCACCTGACTGAGTTGGAGCGTCTTGTCATGGTAGTCAAAAACCATTTTTCGAAAGTGTTTGTCTGCCTCATAATGGAAGTTTTCGTAGATCGAGCGCAATTGGTGAACCTGCTTCTCGCGAGTACGCAAAAGAGCAATTAGTTCGTCATCAGACATGGAACGGTACGTATCAGCGGTAGGCCGTTTCAGTTGATCGTAGGAATGATCGACGGTAAAGGGATTCGTATTCACCCCAGCAAATCCGGAGGAAAAGGCGCTTTTGTTTTCCTGTTGCAAGCGTGCGCGCTCTGCCTCGGCGCGCTCATAGGCCCCGCCGTCATCGCCGGTGAACGCCGCCGAGGAAAAGGCGCCGGATGCAGCAGCGAGTCGCCACCCAGCGTAGCGAAGCATACGATACTTGCTGCAACCCCTTCAGATACCGCCCACTCGTCCGACTAATTCTACCCAGAAGAATCTATCAGGGGTAAAGAAGAGAAGATGTCGTTGCGCAAATACAATAATACATAAAATAAAGGGGAAAGGAGTGAAAGATAGGCACACCAAACAAAGCTCATTCTTTACAGGCGAATAGGCTAAATAAAGTCTGGTCCCACAATATATGAACGTTCGCATCGAACGTTAATTATTTTATCTTTTTTACTATCATTTATAAGTTATACGTTTACTTTCTGCAGGGAAAAAAAAAGTGATCAAGCAAACTAATCGATGCAATGCTTGCACTACGAAATATATCTAAAACAACTAGCTACCCATGTTTAAAGAGCTACACTAAAGACAATAAAACTCACGTACTTTATCCATTTTCCTTTCAGAGTGACTGAGTTAAAGTACATATAACTAAACAGTTTAAAGAAGGTAGTAAAGAGAGAAAAGGGCTTAATAAGCCTCCCCCCCTCCTCCTCAATATAGGCATTCATTTATGACGATAGTTGGAAAAACTATACTAACTGAGAGGATTAAAGTGGGGCTGGTACTACATACAGCTTTTCATACGTTATCACCTAGCGTAGTTTGTACTTCCTTTCGACATATTCTGACAATCTAGCACTTCCCCCCTACCCCTCAAGGTTCATTATTGCTATCCCTCCCATCCTCTTTTGTTTCTTAATAATCATCGCCTTTGGAGAGCACCTCCTTCGCGGTAGGCTTCAACAAAATCGTATGCTCGAACTGCGCGGTGTAGCACCCCTTGATATCACAAAGAGGGGGGTACTTGTTCACGGCCCCTTGGTCCACGAGGCTGTTGAGGTTCAGCAGGTGCCGATCAAACCCATCACGGTCGAGCCACTTCCGACAGAAAGCGAGCGTGCTGTAGGTCTTGTGGATGTGCCGCAGGAGCTGCTGCGCCTTGTCGGAGCGCAGCTGCATCGTCTCGGCGCCCGGGGCCATCATGTAATGCGAGCACTCCAGGTCCTCCGTCACGTACCCCCGTCCTGTCGACCCGAAGGTCTCGATCGCAAACAGCTCCCCCTCCTCCATCCGCGTCTGCTCCCCGCCCTTGACGATCGGGACGCTTTTGCCGCTGTGGATGATGTACGGGCGAAGGTTGTGGCCGCTGAGGTTGCGGATCGACTTCACGGGGTAGACGGTGCCGTTGAGCTCGACCTCGTGCGACTCCATCACCTCCTCGATCGCCGCGCCGATGTCGCCGAGGCGGACGTCGATGCCGGCCTGGCGGACGCCCTCGTAGGTGGCCTCCCGCACCGCCTGCAGGAGGGGGTCGTAGACGGGGTTGAAGCAGGCCGTCCAGGCCGAATCCACGATCCGCCCGTTCACGTGCGTCCCGAAGTCGATCTTCACGACGTCGTCGCGCCCGAGAAGGACCTTCTCGTCCCCCGTGTTCGGCGTGTAGTGCGCCGCGACGTGGTTGAGCGAGCACCCCGTTGGAAAGGCCTGCCCGCAGCTCAGCCCATCCTTCTCGATGAGCTCACTGAGTTTCTTCTCGATGCGATCCGTCATGAGCATCAGGGAGAGGCCGGGTTTGATCCAGCTCTGCGCCCAGCGACGCACCTGGCGGTGGACCTCCGCAGCGCGGCGGAGGTCCTGCACCTCCTGCTCCGTCGCCCGCTCAAGGGCTCGCTTCTCCTCACTGCTGTGGCGAAACGCGTTGATCTCACCGGGGTGGTCGCATATCTCGCCTAAGGGGTATTTTCCGGAGGGAAACTGCTTCCGGATCGGCACCGTCGGCTCCGGCCACGTCTGCCGTGGGCATCCAGGCTCAGCGGCGGGGTAAGGGTTCTCCGAGTGATCCGCGGAGCTGGGGACGACAGGCTCGTCCTCGGCTAGACTTTTATGTACCAAAGGGAGGCCATGCTTGGCGTGGCCGCCGGTTGAGTTGTTCTTATGGTTTTTGAGAGCCTCTGCCTTCGTTTGTTGGACAGCAGCTTCTAAAATGGAGTCGAAGTCATCGTCGGCAGACTTTTTTTTCTTACCACTTTGATTGGTCTGCTTTGCTGGCTTCCCATTCCCGGAACTTTTCGAAGGCATGTACCCTTAGCTTTCAGGACTCAGAAATGTATTCTTTAGAAATAAATAGCTTAATTCCCTTCCTTTACAATAGTCTTTATTTGCATAAAGAAAGTTAGCGATAATAAAACCAGTGATCAAAGCATTATTTCAACATATTATATACCTATATATGTATATATAGTTACATATGCATACGCCTATTTTATGAATGGGCTAGCGATAGCAACAACGAAACACGTGCTAAGGTGATGTAAAGAAAAATCAAAGACGGTAAGAAAAGGGTAAACACACATGTGTTCTGTTTGCCTGTTTTCACTCCGTATTTGACTATCACATCATTGCATACACTATCCATAATGCTCTGCGAATTTGACTGAAACATGATTGAACCATGTTATAAAAAATAGGAAAAAACGCATTTCCAGAATGACTAATATTTCAAGCTAGTGAAATACCGTTTTCCCCCCAAAAAGAAACTCTACTAACAAAGTATTCAATCACGACATTAGCACGAGGTGAACTACACCTTATAGAGATAAGACATTTCCAAAATATATAAGTTCTTTAAAAGTGCTCGAAAAACAAAATATGGTTCAGTAATGTTTATTATATCTTTCCTCATCATCCCTATTTCCATCGGCTTACCCAGAAAGAAAATCTATATATATATATGACACCAAGCATTGCGTTCTTGTAGTATCTAAAAGCTTGGAAAAATAATCCTAAAGTAACACTTTCACATAATATACTAAGTTCTTACCCTGTTGATGCAAGATACTTATTAGCAGGTAATCTGAAGAAAGAGAAGGATGGCTGGAGACTTGCGATAATAAGGCACAAATTGAGTAGAAAAATGGTGGATAGTAAATGATGAAACCACGCACTAGAAATTGAGGCTTCTTCAGTATCTGTATACACATAAACAGCAAGACTCTTGCAGGTAAAATTTGTAGAATGAGTCAATTTCATCAAGGATCAAAATACTAGTATGTAGCACTTTTTTTTTTAATTACTGTTAGAAACCTGAGGAAGAAATAGTGACGATTTTGGCATCACTAACGCTACCTCATTTGCATCCATCCACTTCACTGGAACATCTAGATAAGGTTTATTGAAACTAATGGCACGAGACCATGGAAAACTCACAATCCAACAACTTATGACAGAGTGATTTAAGGTCTAGGGGCACACGGACCTCGCAGACCCTCCCCCTTGTGTGAAGGTGAAAGCTTTCGAAAAACACCTTTTGGGAAGCCTACCAACCAACATCAAAGGGGTGCGTTGGGTAGCACTCTGGATAAATGAGCGCCCCACACTTGAACTCTATCCTGGCAAAAGTAAACCCAGAATTACCAAGAAAACAGTTCCAATCAGTACAAATCAATCGTAATCTCACGAATTTATTCATATTCTACACTGTCAAATATGTATATGTATATATGTGTGTATATATGATGCTCCAACATTATCGAGAAAAGATCCGAGGAGCCTCAAAATTTAGCCTGCTCTCGTTTCCCTTCAAACCAAATTTCAAGTTGCATTCCTCTGCATTTTTAACATTCATGTGTAAAACTAGGAAGGGTCTTTACCCTTATTAAGCAATCTAAACGAAATCATCTCCCCGGTAATCAAGGACACAGCAAAAAGATCCATATACTCAACTTTTGGGAGTCGCATAAAGCGTTCGACGCTCATAATATAAGCCTTCTCCAGCACACATAAATGACCATCGACTTTGGAAACGATCACTGAAAGTGTATCCTCGTCTGCAAAAGGAGAAGTCCGGCTGGAATTTAGCCATGCTGGTCGAGACGTGTCCTTTTCAATAGGGCTCAGCCGCAGCAACACGCACGGCAAACGTGTTGCAGCCACGAACTGTATAACTATGGGAGTAAAAGACGACCACCAGTCGGCTACCACGGTTAGTTGTTCCTTATTTAGTGCAGCAAACTTGGTATGCGTCTTCGACGGCAGAAGTTCCTTCAATTTCTTGTTGAAATGATGACTATCGAGAGGCTTGTGGCGGTAGCCATAAGCTAACTTCCTTTCGAGCATATTTAAGTCATCGCAGTCATAGTCTAGACCCTTACTGCGGCGATCCTCCAAGTAAGAGGGCTCCAAGCTTATGAAATACGCATGAATGGGATTCTGCACAGCAATCTCACACCCTGCTCCTTTTCCAGATAGCACCGGGGGACCTTTACTGACCGTGGGAAGGGGATAGTATGTAAATTTCGAATTGACGGCACTGTCAGAACTTTTATCACAGTTCTGATGTGCTTCCCTTTTTACCATGATATCACCAGCATCCCCTCCCTTATTCTTTGCACTTAAGGGCAGCTCCAAGTTCACGGTGTAGGCTACTATGTTGGCATTCTTGCTACGGGTGATGTACATGCAGGTGTCATGGCGATCATGGTCGAACCGCTGACCTCGTGGCAAGGTGACGCCTCGCAGCAAGGCATTGAACTCGCTTGGTGTACAAGCAAACGGACTGTCTTGCAGAGCAAAGGTTTCTGTTAATTCCGCCATAAGGCTGGAAATATTTTCTGTTATGCAACTTGAAAAGGACATTGCTAACAAGGGTGAAATATGCACTGAAATTATAATAATGCTATGTCAAAATAAAGTATTTGAAGAAAGGGGGAAGAAACTTCAGATATCAAGTACTCATGATCCTTACTCATTGAATGATCAAAATATCAAAAAAACATATAAAACACCATTCAGTGTATTGCTGAATTTCTCTCGTCGAAAACACTATATGTATCACAGCAAGAAAAAGAATAACAATGAAATTTTGCACGCTATGAGGCATCCTTCCCTTACTTGTTGAACGGTAGACGCGGCCGCTTACCATAACCCTCCGTCTTCACATACCTAGCACCAAAAGAAAACTCCTTCGGTCGACGTCCGTAGGCACTGCCGTTCTGCTGCTGCTCCCTGACGAGTTTTTCCTGCGCGTAATGGTGACGCCAGTCATGTGGTCGGTGCTGAAACGGTTTGGTGTGGTTGTCCGACACATTCTGGATAAACCAATCGTTAAACTCGGAGCAGGCCTGCCCCATCGCCTGGCAAAGATGCCCCACCTTCGAAAGGCATAAATCCAAGACGCGATTCTCCCGCTCGCACGTGCTGCCACCTTTCGCCATACACACCCGAAGCTGCATCATCTCGCTTTCACACATCCTCATCGCGTCGGGTCCGTTGAGACCTAACAACTTCGCCTGTGTGACCACGGGCAACCCGTTATGCGACGGTGAGGAGTCGATTTGCCCCCTCTCCGAGCGGCGGACGCCGAGGTTGTCGAAACTGGTTCCCCGCCCGAAGTTCACGAGGTTGGTGGGATTTAGGTAGTCATAGGCGTTGACCGGCTTGAGGCCGTACTGGTTGACACCGCTGTCATGAGCACGACTCTTGAGCAAAATGGGGGTAAGGTGCCACGCGTGGAACACGTCCGAAGCCTTCATGATAATCTAGCAATTAAAAGATTAATGCACGTGAGAGCACTACACACGTCTCTTTTCGATTCCTTAAAGAAGGGTGCAAACGATAAAAGAAACGCTATTATTTCTATATTGAGTTTGTATTCCTATCAAATGTGTGATGATGTGCAATAGGATGCTACGACACACCCTTTGCCTGTTGATATGGTTTATTTACTTCTCAAGTGCAAAGCACATCACCCTTGTGAAGAAAACACATGTAGTGAATAACCACATCAATAAAAGAGCGATTAGAAAAAGAAATGTTAACCTTATGCAATCATAAATTTTATAAGAAATGGGTAGCGGACACAGCATTTGCATTACAGTATGAATGTGCAATATTCATTTTTATGCGTGCATAAAATTAAAAAGCCCTCGATACGACCTAAAAAAATCCTTTTTCGGACGCACACAAATGTAACGAAACAATTTTCCAAGCCTCGAAATAATAATAATAAAAAAACATAATATTTACAATATATAAACAGGAGAATAACTAAAAGAATAAGTATTAGTTATGGCAGAAACGCAAATAACGACCCTGTTCTCAGTTCCCCCGCTCAGTTCCAAACAACACACGTATGGGCCCATGTATAATCCGTGCATTTGCCTTCAGTTCTAACGACACCCCTTGGTCATTACTATCACTGCACGGTTCACTAAAGGAATACAAAACGTAACGCTTTGCCTCACAAAATGTGAGCCTGAAAAACAGGCAAAGGGATTTCACCGGCCCACAGACACACAAGCAAGCCCGCCCACACAAAGATAAAGGAAGTGCCGTGAGGGGCCAAATCTGACAACACGAAGGCAGACCACCTAGAGATTCAGGAGGCAAGAGTTTCAGATTCCTAGCACTGCGCATCCTACACGTGCCGTTAAGACGCCCCAGCACATGTTCTCGCACAGCAACGCTAGAATGAACACAGAGGTGGTGCTAATGATCAGCCGCCTTTTGAACGATGCCGCCGGCGTGCAACCGCTGGAATGAGACTCCTTGTCAATCTCCTTCCTAGACCCAATCCTTTCCCGTAGGCAAAAACCAGCGAACAAAGCATCCATCGTGGACTATCCCATGTGTTTATCCGATGTGATCCCGGAACTTTGAGCTATTTCGCCTGAGGTGTCTAACAGCCGTAAAAGTGGGACGCGCCATGAGGTGTGGTGGTAATCGTCATCGATTCCTCTCCCTCCATGGCGCTCGCTCCCCGATCTGTCCTCCCCCTTTTTCTGGCTTGACATCGGTTCTGTAGACTGCGTCTGAAGAACCGCTCGATTTGACTTCATCTCTATAGGTTTCGCCTTCGATATAGCCGCTTCCGCGGTCTGCGGATCAGCCTGAAACCTTTCAATCAACTTTTTTTCGTGCCAGTTGTGCCTGATCGGCATCCGCCCGTGCAACCTGAGATGCCTCATCTTGCCGCTCATCCTCCTCCAACGCCATAAAAGCAACCTCTTCGATGGCGTCGAACCGCTCATTCAGACAGGGTCTCTGTTTCTGTGCAGACTCGATCAAAACCATCAAGCTGCTGAAAATGGCATCAAGGTACTCCCGTAGGAGGCGCGGTACGCATACCATCTTCGCCATAATCAGTGCCTCTGTGTGCTTCTGGATGGAAATATAATGTGCGTCTTTAACAGAATGCCTCTGCAGCTCCTCGTAAGCTATGGCGAGTTCAATAGAACTCTCCCTGAGCAAACCCAAGTCCTGAAGTTCGCTTTTCTGTTGCTGTATTGTCTTTTCGTTCATTTCTGCGTGGTGCATGGCATCCTTGAGGCCGTTCTCAAGTTCAACCTTTTCCTGCTCTAGCGCACGGCGATCGTTTGTGAGTTCCTGAATGCAAGACTCGAGTTGCCCGATGCGCCGCAGCAACGAGTCAGCAGAGGCATCATTCCCGCTGGCAGGAGTCGTAGAGTCGCATTGGCTGGAGTTTTCATGGCCTTCTGTGCCGCGCAAAACCCGTATCTCGTCTCTCGCATCGCGCAATGAAGCTTGTAATTCCTCATTACTGGCCAAGGCATCTACGAGACGCTCCTTGAGGAATTCGAACTCCTCATCATCCCCTAAGGGGAGTGTGGCAGGAGTAGTCTGAATAGCCTGAAGTTCGCTCCGCATGCGGTCCAACTCCTCCTGGAGATTCTTAATCTCACGCGTGTAGTGATCCCTGGTCTGTTCTTGTTGTCGCTCCTGTTCGCGGACTACCCCCTCAAGCTTCTGAGCTGCTACGTGTTTCTCCTCCCGTAGGTGGCGCTCCGCCTTCTGCAATTGAACGTTGAGGTCACGTTGCATAATCTCAGCCCTCAGGAGTTGCTGCTGAGCTTCTTCTCCGACACCTTTTAGTTGCTCAATCATTTCCGCATACTGGGAAACTTGATCCCGTGAGCTGGATAGTTCTTCCTCCAGTTTCTCAACCTCCAGATTGAGCGCCACAATTTGGTCGTTTTGCTCATGGAGCTTTGCTTGCACCGTGCTTGCACCGTGCTGGATAAGCTCCCTGAGCTCGTCATTGGCTTGAGAAAGGCTTTCTACCTCCTTCGTTCTTTTCTCTAGCCTTTCCTCAAGATGAGCCACCTCCGCAGCATACCGCGCTCTCATCTCCTCGAGCTCGCTTTGCAAGACTTCAGGTTGTACATCACGATCACAGACATCGTCCTGAATGTCGTGTGAGAACCTGTCCATGCTCTCTGGGCGATCCTGCAGCAGATGGTTCTGCCGGGATTCTACCTCGTGTGTGGCATGCAATTCCTCTTGCTGTTGAGTTGCCCCCTCGTCTTCCTGCGAGGTCTGTGCGTTGTACATATAGCTCTCGAATTCTCTCTGTAGCTGTTGGAATCGCATGCTGAGCTTGGCGTGCTCTTCGCGCCAGTAGCCAACCTGAGATGTCAAATCGTCGCCACGCTCCGTATTGTCGTTCAAGGTTTTCACAGCGCTCGTGGACTCAGCATCAGTAAGTGTCGAATACTCCTCATGCAGTTTCTTTAATTGGCACTCTAGATCTGCTATGCGTCCTTCATAAAAGATACGTTGCTTCTCCAATCGCCCCTCTAGAACCTTATCATTCTCCATCAACTGAGCGTCGATCGCCTGTGCGACTGCCTGCAAATCAGCCTCATGTTCGTCCTCAAGGCGCTCTATAGTTGCCCTCATTTCCTCCAGTGCCTCATTGAGGTGTTGCACATCCATGTTCTGAGCATTCATTTCAGGCACTGAAGCATCGGCGTCCCTTGCCCTAGTCGACTCGTT